CTTGGCATTAAAGTTGCTAGATCAAATAAATGAGTTTATGTATGCAATAGGAAATATGTCTTAGACCTTTTGAAAGATGCAGGGGTTTTAGGAAGCAAAACCTCATTATTTCCTCTAAATTAGAATATTAAGATTTCGAAGGATAAATGAGAGTCAATACTAGATCTAATGATGTACTAGAGGTTGATTGAAAGGTTGGTGTACTTCACATTGACTAGGCCTAACCTAACTTACTCTATTCAAGTTCTACACTAGTTAATGGAGAGTCTGAGAGAATGTCACTTGAGGGGTATAAACAAAGTCCTAAGTTATGTTAAAGGTACACCAAGTTAACGTTTGTTTTATTCAAATACATCTGAATTAAAACTAAAAGCTTATACTGACAATGACTGGGCAGAATGCCTAGATACAAGAAAGTCTATTGCAGGATATTGTGTTTTTTAAAAAAATTTATTGATATCTTATAAATCTAAGAAATAATAAAAAAATTTTTAGATCTTCAGCAGAGACAGAATATAAAGCTATGATGAGTATATGTTGTGAGTTAACTTAGATAAAGTACTTACTTAATGACCTTAAAGTGTGTAATTTAAAAGTAACAGACTTATATTGTGATAACAAGACTGTCATACATATAACTGATGATCTTATATTTCATTAGAGAACTAAACACATTGAGATAAATTGTCACTTAGTTAGAGACAAAATACAGGAAGTGAGTATAGTCACAAGGTACGTGAACAACAAACAATAACTAGCAGATATTTTCATTAAATCTCTATCTAGTTGGCTTCTCAAGAAGCATATGATTAAGATGAGAGCAGAAAATGTCTACTCTCCGTCTTAAGGAGGGATGTTATCAGGCCTGTATGAAGCAGGCCGACCCAACTTATACCAAAATGCACCGTTTCACTAAAAGATGATATGGTGTGTTTAGGCTTAGCTAAACTCAGGGACAGAATAGGTGTTTAAACCCGTCTTCTGCCCCGAGTAGACTTACTCTGGTTTCCTCCTCTATTGTCATCAACACATGAAAGTAATGGAAGATGTATATCCTTTATATCCATTAACCAACACTATTAAACAAAAATTTGTTTGTTTCATTTTAAAGTCACCTTTACCTAATCAAGTTACTACAATGCCCCTTGCTTTTAGGTGCTTTATTTTGGAGTCTTTTCTTTTGAACTTTTTATGGTTTTTTTTGTTGAAATTCCCTTTTTGATTTCCTTATCATGGCAAGTTTTTCATTTTTTGTGTCACTTGGTTCTCATTGAGCCCATATAGCAAAATGGTTTTTTTTTTTTTTTATGAGCTTAGTCATCTTGACTTATGTTTAATTGATGAGAAAATAAGGATCAATTGAGTTTGTCTAACATAGTCTATGTATATACCTTTTGTTTTTTGATAGTGTGGTTACTTTCACCTATTACACTTTGCTTTATCACTATAGTATTTTCTTAATGAGTGCTACGGTAAAATATATCAACCCTGCGTGAGGTTAGCAAATATCTCTCTTTAGCACTTTATTCATATTTTATCTTACATAATTTATATTATGTATTAGTAATTTAATTTTAGATTATTTTACCTACGTATTTTCTTCATGTGTCACTTCAAGTTTATCTTTTTTTTTTTGTTACTAAGCACTTAAATTAAAATATGATTATAGTTGGATTAAAAGTAAAATAAAACCGGTTGATTTCTTTAGCATAAACTTGAGCATTCATTTTTCTCAAATCACCTATCTTTTATGGTTGTGTAGAATTATTTATTACTATTTTTTTACCTCATTGAGATATTTTATCTATATAAAATTTTCCTTGAACATCTATATGCTATGTCATAATATAGATATTCATTCTAATATTTCAATAATTATAGTTGGTGCTATTAAAGATAAGATATCTTGTTGTCGAAAATACTTCAATGGTGGTAACAATCTGCATTGGTAGGACACTTTTGTAATTATTAAATTTATAAAATAAAAGAGAAATACAATACTATAAAACAAATTATTAGAATAAAATAGTGAGTACTTAAAGAGGACGATTTATATTTATTATGTTAGCTCCTATTAGAGAAAATTTTAAAATTTTAAACAAAGATTTAAATAGAACTCATAGAAATTTATGTGAAAGTGGAACATTATATTTTAAGTACCATTAAATCTTGTGTAAAATTTTTATCATTTTCTAATTAAAATAAATGTAAAATTATAAATGTGAAGAAATTTGAAAATTAAGAGATTATTGACAATAATAATTCATAAATGTAGGTTATGAATTATACTTAAATATATTAAATGTAAGTTATGAATTATACTTAAGTGCATTTCTTTTGAGCTTTTTAAACAAGTTAATATATTAAAATTAAATAAGTATTTTTTTAGGTTTTTTAAAAATAATTTATGTCTTAAATTTAATTATAATTAATGAAATAGAATTAACTACGATTCATGTATTTGGAATGTTAAGAGTTACATTAGTATTTATATAGATATATATGAAGATTTTATTGTGACAGCACAAAATTAAATAAATTTTTATTAAAATTTTGTCTCTCTTCTATATTTTTAATAAAATATTATCTAAACAGATACGAGCTATCTCCATCACACGAACACATTGTTCCGGTGCTGCATCAACATCACTACTGAATCAGTGGGCGGCCGGGTTAGCCAATATCCAATACATTTTCTTCCTTTATTGCTTTGATTTCTTAACATAGGAAAAATTAATAACATTTAATTATGTGTATATTATACATATGAAATGCTCAAATACTCTTCTAATAATCAATTATGTTGTTTGTACCAAAACTAATTTTGGTGATGTATACATATATGAATTACTTATATAAGGATATTTTTGTGTGGAGATATAGCTTATTATTATTATTATTATTATGGGTGTTTTTGCACATATAATGGGTATGGTGGGCATCATAGAAAGCATATATGCGTGTGTATGTGTGTACGCAGACGCACTTGTCCTCTAACTTTAAGGGCAAAGATATAAAGATATGTACGTACATGACCACCTTTGCACCATAACTTTACTCTGTTTTAACATCCGAACCCACCACTTTTGCTGTAACTTTTAATGTGAAAAAGTAGAGGAAGCAGTGGGTTATAAGTCCTGGGTTCATGTCACAAGCAATTTAACATCACAAGGATCCACTCTTGTACTTACACCTCCATTGTTAAGATTCGGTTGAGACCAGAAGAGTGACTCTTTTGGTTGTCCATATATATATAGTATTAGCTTTTTGACTGAAGCGCTGGGCTGCAGACTGGCAGGTAACAAGCATATACATATAACGAAGAAGGCCTAATTATTTTTCTGAAATTTTTGTATTGAAAACACATATTGGACCATTTATTAGAAGATTGTTGCTATCCGATTTTCTTGTGCTGAGCATGAAATACAGAATTCATCTAGAGATATAAAGCTCTCACATTGCCACACAAAATAGTTGGTGGAGTTAGCACATATTTTATCTAAATAATTTCTACAGAAATATTTGCTACTGTTATATAATCACTTTCTATTAAGGAACGAACAATATTTTATTATTTCTTTACTTACCGATAAATATTTTCTCACAAAAATTATATAACCAATAGCAAAGTGTCTATCATCTAGATATCCACCATAACTGCATCAAAATAGTAATTTAGGAACAGGTTAGAAGGAATATACGAATGTTAAAATCCAAAGTACCTCCGATATATTGAAGAAGTCACTTTTACTGTCTAATGGTCATCTGTAAGTGTATGCGTGATTCGACATTAAGTAATTAATAAAAAATACAATATTAGAGACATGCTGTGAAAGGAACCTTGAGGGATGAGAGTGACTTGTAATTATATGTACAAGCAGCTATTTCTAGTTAAAACAATTATAATTTACATATTTTATAATCCTAAATCAAATAAAATACAAAAATTAGAATATAGTTAATTTGAATGATTTTAATTAGCCTAGGAATTAGCTTTTATTGAAGTTCTAATTATTAATATATAAAGAATTTGTATTAGATAAAGGATTAGTTTAAGAGATAAAGCTATTCAGACTGGAGCAGGACACTACTCACGGGCTCATGTAAAGTATTTTCGCGCTGGCTTATTTGCTTGAGCTTCTAAGCTTCAAGTCATTGGAGGCATGCATGGAAATGCAACACACGCACACAGGACAATATGCGAACTGCACGTGTGTTGGTATCTCTACGTAAAATATGCATTCAGCATGTAACTTCGACTTCGTAGGATGACTGCGGGTTCTAAGTTGTCTGTAACTCGTTAGTTGTTTTGTTAAACTCCTCAGCCAACTTTATGATGAAAATCTCCAAAAGCAAAGTTTGTTGGTAATTTCAAATTCTACACTTAACCTAAAGTCAACCTTCTACTGCATGTTCCATTATTAGTTAATAATTTTTCCAAAAAAAGATTATAAATATCTTATCATAAATATACTTCTTTTAGTATTTCCGGCATACGTTAAAAGTGTGTGTATATGTATGTATGTATGTCATTTGTACAGGCTTTTGTATAAAGCAGCACATTAAAATCTTGGTAGTGTTACTGCTGCAAGCCCAACTTTTAATAGGAAAGCTACAGGCCCAACTTTTTAGGTTAAAGAGTCTGCTCTGATTAAAGCATATAATTTCATTATATTATTAGCAAAAAAAAAAAAAAAAAAAAAAGAACAAATTAATTCATTATATTAAGATAGATATGTGTATATAACTTTTAAAGATAAATAAATATGTATATATTTTTATAGTAAAAAATAACGCACATTTTAACCACCCCACAATATAATATCTTCTTTGTTATAATTGATTGTTAATCAATTGAGTTAAATGTCCTACACCATGTGTCACAGGATATCATCTTTCTTTTTCTTCTTGTCTTTGTGATCTTCATTGACAAATACAAACTTACTTACTACCACTCTTTATATATATATAGTTTTGGTCCCCAACAAACAAGGCGTGAGCCTTCTCCTATTTTTTCTTCCTTCAAAATCACCCACGTAATTATAGAACTCCATTACAGACAAGAACAACAAACTCGCCCTTATACTCTCTCATCATTCCAATCACTCTCTTCTCCCCCTCTTTCTCATCCAACAAAATGTCCAAAATCTTCCGCAAAAAATTTAATCTCTGCTTCCCCTCATCCACAAACCCTTCTCTCATCTACGATCACCTCCCCGACGACGACGACGACGACTGCTCCAAGCCTCTCACCGACACCGACATCCTCTCTTCTTCCACCTCCTCCTCCTCCTCCTCCTCCTCCTCCTCCTCCTCTAACAACCAAGCCCCCGACTTTGCCGCAGCGTTCGCCTCCCAACGCTTCTTCTTCTCCTCTCCCGGCCGATCAAACTCCATCATCGAATCACCCGACACCACCCCACCGGAGCCGCCCCTCGACGGCGGAGTTGCCGTCAAGAAGTACTCCCCGGATCCCTACACTGATTTCAGATGCTCAATGCAGGAGATGATCGAGGCTCAGAGGTTGAGGGATGTGAAGACGGATTTGGAATTCTTGCACGAGTTGGTTCTTCGTTTGATGAGTATGAACTCCAAACAAACTCACAAGTTCATCATTACTGCCTTTGCTGATATCCTCATTTCTCTTTTGTCAAAATAAAACATTTAAAATTTTGATTTAGTTTTTTTTTTTTTTTTTTTGGTGTTGCATGGAATTTACCTTAAAATGGAAAACCATATCTATGTATTTGTATATGTTTTATGCATGAGGATAACCATAACCAGTCACAAAACCAAGGGAGCCGTGTAGTACTTATTTTGTCTCCATCTATATTTTTAATTTATATAATTAATTACCTTCTTTTTGTCCTTAATCTGGGAAAACACACTTCTTGAAGTGGTAAACGATGATAATTTTGCCACGTTAGAGAAGAAGTTGCTTTAACATTTGGAAGCATATATGGTATGGCTATTTAACGTGTCTATATATATATATATATATATATATATATATATATAGTGTTCAGTAATGTATAATTTATATGTACAAATTATACCATCTAATCAAACAAACCAATGGTTATTATAGACATGTAGGTATTGGATAGCTTTTTGGTTGTTGCCGGCCACGCACACATATAGATATATAGATATATTAATTATTGGAGGATGAGAAAGTAAGTAGGTTGGACAGTATTAATTAATTATATAGATATGTGTATAGTACGTATATACCTGCAGTATTTACACATTTGTCATCTTCTTCTTACATTAACTAGCTAGTTTAAGTTGTCAGTACTGATCCATCTCCTTGGCATCTTGTCTTGGCATGGTTATTTATGGTTCCTACTATTTTTCATGAATAAAATCAAGAATTATTAAATATTATATCATCCCAGAAGAATAGAATATATATATACACACACACACACACACACATATAATGCCTTTAGTTTCCCTAAATTTTTTAAAGCAAGCATGCCCTGGTAACATTTGTCTCAACCAAATTCTGAAGAGGAGAATTGGATTGATGGCAGAAAAATGAAGAACAAATTAATTTATAAATTTGATTACAGTCTATATATACATTGCATTAAAAAAAAGAAAAAAAAGAAAAAAGGAATCTGGAAACGAAAATTGAGCTATAACATTCGAGGATCGAATTAATTAATACATTATTATATAATTAATAATTAATTAGGAAAATCTAAAATCAAATTGATTATCTTAATTCGTAATTAATTTAGACATAATGAATCTGGAAATGGGTTCCCAAGAGCTGTTGGTTCTTTAGAAACCAACAAGTATAATTAATTGGAGTTCCTCTGAAGAAGATATTGAAAAACTCTAAATTTGCATAAAAGAAATCAATACTCCAGCTTTCTTAATTCACTAAAATTAATAATTTATTTAAAATAAGCCTTAATTTTTTTTTAATTAAAAATTTGTATGACTAATTAATTAATTAAGATAAAAATATTAACCATCTAATCCAAAAAAAAAAAAAGTAATTGTATATTTATCAGAAATGGTATCCTAAGAGAGAATCTAATTAATTATAGAAACAAGGTACCGCGTGCGCCAAAGCACTTAATAACGATGAATTGCTTTAGTTTTATAATTAATTGTACATATACATTATATATATATATATATACTTAATTAATAATATAATAATATTCCGGAAATTAGTTGGTTTAGGTAAACTCAACCAAGTTGTCCATGCATACAATGTATATAGATGTATGCATGCATGTATAAATTAACACACATTTGGTGAGAGCTGGTCGGTCTCAGTCTCCTAAATCTACCTATTGCTGCAATTCTCCATATAATAGTTTGTTGAATATATGTAACGCCGTCATTATAATCACTATCAAATATATATATGTATATGTATATACATATTAGAATATATATAATGACATAATTATAGTTTCCAATTCGTTTTAGAAGGGAGTTAATTTCTGATAGTGGGTGGGGGAGTGGGGATTTTCTTCTTCACTTTTTCATCTTCTTTTTTGGTTTTTCTCAAGTTAATTACTGCTGCTGACTCCTGACTCCTGAGTCCTGAGTGTGTGTGTGTGTGTATATATATATCCTGCAGCAGGGGTTTTGAGGGTGAATCCAGATTCGATGATGTATTTATAACACATGTATACGTGTTCATATGTATATAAATGTGTATCAAATAACATTTAAAAAAATTAAAAATGTAAGATTGCGATATCCTATGGATAATGACATGTAAAGATCTTGTGTCATTTATACACAAAAGCAGGCTTGAAATAAATGCACATATATATATATATATATATATCGTATATGGACTGTCAA